GGGGGGGGGGCTCTTTAGGCCAAATGTGTAGCACATGCCTTTAACCTCAGCACTTGGGAGAAGTACAGGGGGTATGGGGGGTCACGAGTCATGTTCCTCATATTTCTAAAACAACTGTTGTTTCATGTAATAGTCAGCTGCAAAAAAAATGTATCCCTAATTATGTATTTCAAACATTAGCATTCACTACACTTTACAGCTAAAGGGATACAAATTAGCAATACCCTATCATTGAAACATCCTTAAAAGCTGTAACATGCATCTCCATCAACAAATACATTCTCTCAAAGCAAGAAACATAAATAAAAAAATTTCAAACAACCAGAGTGCCAATTTTAAGTCTTAAAATGCCACCACAAGGCAAGCTGGAGACCAGGAGAAGCTATACTTGATCACTCACTCCCTTAGAAATGAACTCCACTGAAACCAGGCGGCCACCTGGCTTGCTCATGGAATAGCATCTCTGGAATAGAGACGATGCCTGACCAATCTGGGAACTTCACATCCAACCTGTGAATCAGAACTACTACACCTGGCCAGGCACACGAAGGACTTATAAAATCCTGGCCATCTGTACCTTATTCAGACACAATGCTCCAGCCTTCATCAGTTCCCCCACAAAATCCATTCTATCCTTGCAAACATGATAAGGACAAGCAGCTGGTCTGCCTATGACCGCATTTACTCTAACTTATCATAAGTATAGCTGCTAGCTCTCGAAAACAAAACGTTCTTCTTGGCCCAACTCAAACCTGATATTTTGCTTGCTCCAGTACAGGTTAGCAGAACCAACTGGGGGAGATGCCAGTGCTATTTTCCAGCCTAGCGCATCATCCTATTGTAAAAAAATGATAGCAATGTCTAGAGACTAGAGAACAACTGGAAGGTTCTGCGGTACCAAGAGCCAAAATTAAAATGACAATAAAGGACTACCAAAATGACAAGCATAACCAGAAATCTGCTTATTCTCAAAAGGGCTAGCTAGTGAAGATGAAAATAGCAGAATTAGAAACCACACCCTTTTGCAACATTCTTGTCCTGTCTACGTTGACAGGGATCATCAATGATGGAAGGCTGCTAGGGAATAAGAAAATCATGTATCTCAGAGTGTCACCTTAGTAACTCCAAACTAGAAAACATACCTTTCCAGGAAGAGACATGACAGACACCACCTTAACCTGTGTCATGAGAAACTAGATACACAATCTCCTTGTTTATTGAAAAGACCAAAAAGTATGTTTGTGGAAGAGTTCTGTTAAGATAGTCTCATGCTAAATTTTTTGATAGAAATTCAAGCAGAGAGGGACACACACTAGACTCACAATCCGTGTGTGTGTATATACACAGACAGAAAAAAACCTACTCCTAGTGTATGCCCTGCAAATACACATAATAACAAAACCTTTAAAAGATACAACACAAGCCGGGGGCAGTGGTGGCACTTGCCTTTAATCCCAGCACTCAGGAGACAGAGGCAGGTGGATCTCTGTGAGTTCAAGGCCAGCCTGGTCTGCAAGAACTAGTTCCAGGATTGGCTTCATAGTTAGAGAAGCCCTATTTCAAAAAAAAAAACAAAACAAAACACAGGTGTATCTATATATTAGGGAGTCACAAAACTAAAAAGGAGCCATGAGAGGCTGGGAAGTAGATCATAAAGGAGGTAGAAAAGAGAGAGACTAGTGGAATGTGTACAAAAGGAAGGCAGAAGAAGAGTGTGGTGGTTTGAACAGGTATGGCCCCCATAAATGTGTCTGAATGCCTGACCTATAGGGAGTGGCACTATTAAGAGGTGTGGCCTTGTTGGAGCAGGTGAGGCCTTGTTGGAGGAAGTGTGCCACTGTGGAAGTGGGCTTTGATGTCTCAATATGCTCAAGCCATGCCAAGTGTAATAAGTCTCTTCTGCTATCTTCAGGTACAGATGTTGAACTCTCAGCTCCTTCTCTAGGACCATGTCTGCCTATACGACATCTTGCTTCCTACCATGATAATAATAATGGACTAAACCTCTGAACTGTAAGCCAGCCCCAATTAAATGCTTTACTTGATAAGAGTTGCCGTGGTCATGATGTGTCTTCACAGCAATAGAAACCCTAAGACAGCGGGCAAACTGGGAGAAGAAAGGGAACCAGATAAGGAAAGAGGAAGAGTTGAGAACAGAGTATAATTGACACATGGGTATGATGATGCCATTATTAAACCCAATACTTTGTTTGCTAATCTAAATAAGTCTAATTTGATAACCAATTAATCTTAAAAAGACATATTACAATAATTTGTGAGTAGTTGCAGACAGTGAGTATTATCCTCTTGGTGGATAATAGGATTATGCTCTCACTACTCATGCCTGGAGTGCTTCTCGATTCTCCCTTTACTAAGCTACCCATTCCCAGTCCCTGACAGACTCTATCCCATTCAATCTCTTGAGCTCATCAGAGCCTTCTTAGTATTCTATATCTTTTGAAAGACATACCAAAATGTTTAGAGAAAGAGTCATCATTGTAAAAAAGAGCTAAGTGTCAAACAGTAGAAATTAAGATTAGACTTCATTTCAATGATAACCTATAACACTTTTTTTCATAGATAGTTAAGATCTCTAAACAACTGCAACTCACTCCGTGTGTCCTTGGAAAACATTCACGGAGTGGATGGAAGGGTCCCTGAAATCCCAAAGACGGAAAGTTGTGTCACGGGAAGAGGTCACCACGAGCCGCTGGGTGGGGTGAGTGCAACAGTGTGTTAACTCCTGGTCATGCCCTACAACCAAATACAACAAAAATACAAGGTCATCCACCTGCAGACACACAATTAAAGTGAAGCTTTTTTAAAAACACAAGAACCAAAAGTATCCATCATCTTTACAGACACCACTAATAGCTGAGGGGAAAGTAAACCTTAAGGGATTACTTAGTAGTATGGAAGGAAGGTTGTCCCCTCAGACGCCTGAAGTCATTTCAGCTAACCACATTGAAAAAAAAAAAAAAAAGAATAAGGAACTAGATACATCATAACTCAATTTCTTGTCTTAACAGTTAGAGGATCAGACAAATCACTTTAACAGGCTGAACACAACAAGAATAACTTCTAATGGTATAGTTTGTAGGCCGTTAGTACAACATCCTGTCTTGAATTTAGACAGAGCCTATAAAAATATCTTTCTATAAATGGGTATTCAACAGACCAAAGAGAATTCCACATATGTAATTAAGGTTTCTAAATCAATCATCTTTGTGTTAATCGAAGAAAGGCTGTCCTTAATGGCCTGGCCTAAACAGCTGGAACCATTCAAAGGGCCAAGGTCCTCCCAGAAGCTAGAGAATCCAGGGCAACAGAGGCATGCTCCTGCTGGCTTGGAAGCCAGCAACCTCCTATGTAGGAAGGGACTTTTGGTGGGAGCCCTGGATGCTCAGGACAGACCCTAACTGACCCCTACTAAGATTGTACAGCCCCAGTCACATAGCTACAAGAAACTGGATGAATTTTTACAGCAACCAGTGAGCACAGAAGACTACAAATTCCAGAGGTCCTGCCCAAGCCACACCTTCACTTCAACCAAGCAGACCCTCGCAGTTGAGGAGCAGCTACCCGGGACATAGAAAAGCTGACAAGGAAACCATCAAGGTAATAGATTCCTGTTATTTAAGTGTGTTTTTTTAAAAAAAAAAAAAAAAAAAAAGAGAGAGAGAGAGAGAGAGAGAGAGAGAAAGAAAGAAAGAAAGAGGCAAAGAGAAACAGAAAACCAATACAGCAACCATATTTCAAATATTAAAATACTATATGCTACAATTAATCTCCTGAAGATAAAATAAATTTAGCTACAAAGAGTTCTATTAATCAGAAAGGATCTCCAAAAATGGCAACCAAATAGCCAATAGCACTAAATATAATCCTGGCCTGTAAGTAATCTGTAAGCTTAGACATAAAAACAGCCCAGCTAGGAAGAGTTTCAGATGTTCACGGCAAGGTACCTGTGAGAGAATGAACAAGTTCAGATGTCTCCACATCATACAGGTTGGCAGTTCTGTCCCATGAGGCTGTCACCACTTGCTTCCCACCAACCAGCCAGTCAGCAGCAATAACCACACCCTGATGGCTTTTGAGAGACGTCAACGGAACACGGACAGTAGGGCAGTCACTGGACACATCTCCATCAATGTCAGGCTCATCTTTATCAGAACACTCTATTTCATCTTCACCAGAAATTTGCTGCTAAGGTAAAAATCAGAAAAGAAAGACTTTGTAGGACTCTTGAGATTTTTTTCTGACATGACTACACCTTTATCTTTCTACATTTAGTACCATTAGAGCCAATGTAATTACAGTATCTGATATGTAACTGGTGCTCAAGGAATGCTTTCTCAGTGTTAAAGCTTGGTTATAAATGGAATGCCAATATCCTGGAAAATAGTAAAGCTACTATGGCATCGAAAGACCTAAAACTCAGGGGCTGGAGAGATGGCTCAGTGGTTGAGAGCATTGCCTGCTCTTCCAAAGGTCCTGAGTTCAATTCCCGGCAACCACATGGTGGCTCACAACCATCTGTAAAGAGGTCTGGTGCCCTCTTCTGGCTGCAGACATGCACACAGACAAAATAGTGTATACCTAATAAATAAATAAATAAATAAATAAATAAATAAATAAATAAATAAATATTTTAAAAATAAAAAAAAAGAAAGACCTAAAACTCATTTTCACTAATCAACAATATATAAAAAAATAAAGCAAATTTCAATATTTTCATTTTACCATTTATTAGAAATACAATAAGAAATTAAAATGAATACATTAAAAGTCATTAGCATGCTACAATACAAAAAGCATTTTAATTCTTAGGAGCCTGTTTAAAATACTTTTAAAACTTCTAAACTATAAAATCTTAGAATTCTACTGTTCTAACAATGAGAGATCACTTGAATTTCCTGTATCAGTGAAATCTTTTATTAAAAGTCAGATAACATAAAACTGTATTGCAAGTCTATACATCAGCTCTTCAAGAAAATATTTATTCATTCAATAAATACTGATAAACAGTGTTGTTTATACAGCAGAGGAAACGGGACATCTGTCATTCGTAAAATGATGCTTACTCTAAATCATAAGGATGCCAGCATAAACACAGTTGGTAAAGTTCCTGTCCTTACAGGGAAGACTACACACACTCACAAAACCCACATATGGACTAGTGTAAGGATGAATGTCATGTATATGCACATACTAGTATGAGAAGATGACACTTGAACAATATACAAAAGGAAGTATGTCATCTGTGTCATCTGCATTCACATAGTATGGAAGGCATGGCACATACAATCAGGTGGCATTGAGTGCTGTGAGGAGTAAGAAAGGGGACAGAAGAGAGAGAGTTGAAGGGTTGCTGTCTTACACAGAATTACACACAGAGGAAAGACTGACAACAATTGAGTTCTATTATGGAGAACGAAGAAGAGTATGCAGATACTAAAGGAAACAGCATTCCAGGCAGAAGAAGGAACAAGTATAAAATCCTCTTTCCCTGCCAGGCAACTGAGCTTACAATGTGTGGAGAGACAGGGAGATGGGGTGGGGGAAGCAGTGTAGCAGGTGATGTCATGGAAAGCCAGGTAGGCCATGGAAAGGACTCTGTGCTCTATTCTAAGCAGAGACATGGTATCACCTAAATTAATCTGCTAAACACAGGAAAATGAAAGGAGGCTGAAATGCACTAGACTGTACCACCCACAAACTCATATGCTGAAGTCCCAACCCCAAGACCTCAGAATGTGAACCTAGTGGAAAAGGGCCCTTAAGAGGCAATTAAATTCAAATCAGGCTGGGTATAGGACCTAGTCTACCATGACTTACTACTGCAATACAAAATTACAACAGAGACACATACAAGGGAAAAATCATGCAAGGGCACAGTAAAAAGGTGACCTTCTGCTAGCCAAGGACAGAGGTCTTAGAATAAATTAATCCTTCTTCTACCTTGCTCTTAGACTTCTAGTCTACAGACTGTGATAACATAAATTTAATGTTGAAGCCACCAGTTCCAGGAAGCACCAGGGAAAAAATAACTACAGGAAAGAGAAATCTAGATGTGGGTGGTAGTAACAAAAATGAGAAGAAAGGCTGACTAATATACCCTCTCAGGAAAGTTTCAGAATTTGCCAATAGATATCCACATAGATTACAAACACATGCGTGTGCATGCACACAACTTGAAGACACTTTAAAAGCATATGGTCCAAACTAAGTGAATGGCAACAGCATAAACAGAGATGAATAATAAGATAAAAGTAGCAGGTTAGAAGGAATGTCCAGAACTCAGAAGCAAATATAAGACACCCAAGGGAGATACGAAGTAATTAGATGACAACCAAAGTCTGGAGTTAAGAGGAAAGTCAGTATGCAAATTTTGAGACCCATAGTAACAGGGAGCCCTTTAAGCCATAGATGCTGAGTGAGACCAACAAGGACTAGTATAGGAGAACAACAGATGAAAAGCAGATTCACGCTTACGCCAGCACCAGCGAGTAGAGCAGAGAGCCACCCAACAAGGGTTAAGGGAAGGAAGAAACAAAAGGAAAGGGTATCTGATAGAATCAAAAAGTAGCCTCAAAGTCTGCTGGATGAGCAACCATGAAGGCAAAGACTGAGAAACAGCAGAGTCATGGGGACACTAAGCTAGACACAGAGTGTGACTCAAGAGGGAAAAGAGTAAATTCACACAACACTTCTGAAGATGCTGGTGTAGGAAGGAAAACCAGTGAGGTGGTAGTTCTGGATGGGATCTGGGAGAATTGTGTGCTGATGATAAGAACCACTCTAAGGATGGAAGGAAGCACTGCAGAAACATTATCAGGAAAAGAGGAAGTAGAACTCTAATAATGACAACAAGGAATCATCAGACTATGCTAAAATCTGGTTAAGAGAACAGAATGCATAGTACACAGGGTAGTGTAACTCTTCAATGAAGCCACACGCGATTAACATGTGAAGGAAGGGAAGTTTGGGGAAGGTAGGTACAGCTAAGAAAGGACAGAATGTGCTAACTAGAAAAGCATACTTGTTTTCAGTATGGGCTGAAGTGTGGAGTATAAAAACTAAGCCCAGAGAGATTTGCAAAGGGAAAGCAGGACAGACCCTGTAGTCTAGGAATCTAATGTTCATGCTTATAATCCCTGCACTGTGGAGGCTGAGGCAGGGATATCATAAAAGGTGAAGGGCAGTCAGAGCTACACAGTGAGGGCCTGCTTCAAAAGCAAACAAAAGGAGAAGGGGAGGGAAAGCCCAGCAAAGAAAGGACTTCATCTCAAAGGCAAAGGGGGAGTTATCTGGGTATCAAGATATCCGTTATTCTACAAAGATGACTCCTGATGAACTATGGAAAAGGAGCTATGGTAAGCAGCCACTAGATTAGATTCAACTGGTTAAAGAAGTTGAGAACCTGGAAATCTGTGGAAAAGCAAAGGCTGGTAAAACCCTTTCCCTTCTGCATGTGATGAGAGCTTTGTTCCCAGGCCACGCTATTCAAGAGAAGAATGAGTCCTGGCAGATAAACATACCAAGACAGGAAGGGCTGCTACAATCACAGGAAATGCCTGACGGGAATACTACAGCACTGCTGTAGCTCTGAGCTCAGTGTCTAAGCGCCTCCTGTCTCTGCTGTTACTCATAAAACTGTCCAGAAGGTCCTGGCTCCCATGCCTGCATCCAAGGAGTCTGGCGGTCCTGTATCTGTGCTGCTGCACAGTTCTGGATGCTCTGTGGACAAGGATCTCTCTGACTAGGTGATGAACATAGCTCCAGCAAAGAATACGGAATGTGACAGTTGACACAGTCATGTCCATTTGTATTTCCCAATGGTGGTCCATGGAGAAACTCAGTGGATATCTCTCTTGTATGCTACACAACTGTTTCCCTGGGCAGTGGTGGCGCACGCCTTTAATCCCAGTATTCAGGAGGCAGAGGCAGGTGGATCTCTCTGAGTTCGAGGCCAGCCTGGTCTACAGAGTGAGTTCTAGGATAGCCAGATACACAGAGAAACAGTGTTTCTTGGAAAAAAAAAAAATTCCCCAAATAGTTTCCCAAGGTGATGTGGGATTTCTCTCAGTATGCTGTGATCACCACTAATGAATAAAGAAACTGCTTTGGACCTATAGCAGGGCAGAATTTAGGTAGGGGGGGAAGACAGAACTGAATGCTGAGAGAAAGAAGGGCATAGTTAGGGAGAAACCATGGAGCCACTGCCAGAGTCAGACATGCCGAAACTTTAGCCAGTAAGCCACAGCCACGTGGCAATACACAGATTAATAGAAATGGGTTAAATTACTATGTAAGAGTTAGCCAATAAGAAGCTAGAGCTAAAAAGGACCAAGCAGTGATTTAAGTAATATAGTTTCTGTGTGATTATTTCGGGTCTAAGCTGGCCGGGCGGCCAGGAATCAACAAGCAACCTTCCTCCAACACCAGGGACACAGAAAAGACTGAACAACAGATTGCTTAAGATTTCATGGAGTAATGAAAATAGATGCACAAAACTCAAGTCCAAATGGATTAAAGACTTCAATATAAATCTGACCACACTAGCCAGCGGTAGTGGCGCACACCTTTAATCCCAGCACTTGGGAGGCAGAGGCAGGCGGATCTCTGTGAGTTCGAGACCAGCCTGGTCTACAGAGCTAGTTCCAGGACAGGCTCCAAAACCACAGAGAAACCCTGTCTCGAAAAACTAAAAAATAAAAAATAAAAATAAATAAATCTGGCCACACTGAACCTGATAGAAGAGAAAGTGGGCAGTAACCTGCAACGCATGAGCACTGGAGATAACTTCCTACATATAACCCCAATAGCACAGACAATAAGAGCCACAATGAATAAATGGGACCTCCTGAAACTGAGATGCTTCTGTAAAGCAAAGAACACAGTCATTAAGACAAAAAGGCAACCTCTTCTGAATGGGAGAAGATCTTCACCAACCCCACATCAGACAAAGGTCTGATCTCCAAAATATATAAAGAACTCAAGAAGCTAAACCTTAAAATTCTAAATAACCCAATTAAAAAATGGGGTACTGAGATAAGCAGAGAACTCTCAACAGAATTTCAAATGGCCAAAAGATATTTAAGGACATGTTCAACTTCCTTAGTGATCAGGGAAATGCAAATCAAAACAACTCTGAGATACTATCTTACACCTGTCAGAAAAGCTAAAATCAAAAGCTTATGCTGGAGAGGATGTGGAGTAAGGGGAACACTTATCCATTGCTGGTAGGAATGCAAACTTGTGCAGCCACTTTGGAAATCAGTGTGGCAGTTTCTCAGAAAACTGGGAGTCAACATACCTCAGGATCTAGCAATATTACTCTTGGGAATATATGCAAAAGATGCCCAATCATACTACAAAAGCATTTGTTCAACTATGTTCATAGCAGCATTATTTGTAATAGCCAGAACCTGGAAACAACATGCCCCCCAACGGAAGAATGGATAAAGAAAGTGTGGCACATCTACACATTAGAGTACTACTCAGCGGTAAAAAAACAATGACATCTTAAATTTTGCATGCAAATGGATGGAAGTAGAAAACACTATCCTGAGTGAGATAACCCAGACCCAAAAATATGAATACGGTATGTTCTCGCTCATCAGTGGATTCTAGCCATAAACAAAGGACATTGAGCCTATAGTTCATGATCCCAGAGAAGCTAAGTAATAAGGTGAACCCAAAGAAAAACATATATAGATCCTCCTAGAAATTGGAAGCAGACAAGATCGCCAAGCAAAAGTTGGGACCATGGGGATGAGGGTGGGGTGGAGGGAAGGGGAGAGAGGGAGAGAGAAGGGAGAAGGGGAGGGTTGGGGAGAGCTTTGAGGAATGGGATGGTTGAGATGGAGGAAGGACAGATATGGGAGCAGGGAAGAAGATATTTTAATTAAGGGAGCCATTTGGGGGTTGGCAAGAGGCTTGGCTCCGGAGGATTCCCTGGAGTCCATGGAGATGACCCCACCTAGGACCCTGGGCAGTGGAAGAGAGGGTACCTTAACTGGCCTTGTCCCATAGACAGACTAATGACTATCTTGAGTATCATCATAGAACGTTTGTCCGGCGCTGGATGGAGACAGAGACAGAGACCCACATTGGATCACTGGACTGAGCTCCCAAGGTCCTGTTGAAGAGTGGAAGGAGGGAGAATATGAGCAAGGAAGTCAGGACCACGAGAGGTTGGTCCACCCACTGAGACAGTGTGCCTGAGCTAATGGGAGCTTTCACCAACTCCAGCTGGACTGGGAATGAACAAGCATGGGATCAAAACTGGTCCCTCTGAATGTGGTTGACAGTTGGGGCAGACTGAGGGGCCAAGGACAATGGCACTGGGATTTGTCTCTACTGCATGTACTAGCTTTTTGAGATCCTATTCTCTTTGGATACATACCTTGCTCAGCCTGAATGTAGTGGGGAGGGCCTTGGACTTCCCACAGGGCAGGGTACCTTGCCCTCTCTTAGGACTGGAGGGGGTGGAGGGAGGGTGGGGGGAGTGGGAGGAAAGTGGGAGGAGGGGAGGAAGTGGGAATTTTGATTGGTGTTATTTTTAAAGTAATAAAAACAAACAAACAAAAGATTTCATAGAGTAGCTAGGAACAGAGCAGGGAGACAAAAGAGTGTGTCACAGAGAATTCCAAACTTCATGACAGGTGTGTTAACTAACCGGACTACTGACCTACAACAGTGAGCAAAATGGACTTTTGCTTTAAAAAAAAAAAATAGTAAGAAATGAACACCCAGATATAGGATGGAGCGACCTCCTCAGACAAGCAACACAGAAGAAAGCATTTGAGTGTCAAGATCATATGTGTCATTTGGGCCATGTATAATGTTAAAGATGTGTTCCGTTGGAGAGACCATAGAAAAAAGGCTCCGAAACCTCTCATGTTTTAGAAGGTGAAATGACTAGTTATTCTGGAGAGCAGAAGTCCATTATAAAGGTACCAACCAGTTCACTTTCTGATAGAAGGGCTTTTCCCACCTGGTGAACAGCTGCCTTTCATGTAATGGAGAGAATAGAAAGCAGTCCCTCTGGTATCTTAAGGACAATAATATTATCAGATCAGGGTCCTACCCTATGGTCTCATTAAACTTGGACTGCTTTCTTAAAGGTATTAATTCCAATTAAAACCACGTTAGCATACAAATTTGGGGATGACATAAATCACAACCATAACATTCTAAGCTGGGCCTCCAAATTACACCTTTCTACATTGGAAAATACATTCATTCTATCCCTAGACATCAGCTCATTCCAACATTAACTTTCAATTTTCTAAAGTGGTTCTAACAAAATCCCATTTAAATTGGGAGCTCTGGGGCTAGAGAGATGGCTCAGTGTTTAAGAGCATGTACTGCTTTTCCAGAGAATCTGAGTTCAGTTCCCAGCACCCATAGACAGACAGACAGACAGACAGACAGACAGACAGACAGATAGACAGACAGATAATATTACAAAAAAAAATGGGAGGTCTACATGAGAATCAAGGTATAATTTATCCCCAGGCAAAAATCCTAACTAGCTATAGACCACAAAAAAACAAACAAGCTATATTTATTCAAAATACAATACTGCAGAAGTACAGGACAAGTAATTCTATTCCAAAAGGGAGCAAAAGAAAAGGAGGGAAGAAAAACAGGTTTCAAACAAACCCCAAATCTAGTCAAGCAGATTCCATTAGATCTTAAGCCAACAATGATCCTCTTAGGCTCCATTCTTTACCTTTTAGAACCACTAAGGAAGCTTCCTCACCATGACAGCTAGCTGGGAGTCCCATCCCTGCTACGGCACTGAGCTGTGGCACTCTGTCCCCCAATCCCCATGGCTCCAAACCAAAGAGAGGCCATGCTCTAGTGAAGCTGAGGGAAAATGCAAATTCAAGGCCAGCTTGGGTTGGGTTACAATTAAATCATGTCTGTTAAAAAGAAAAAAGAGGGATAGAAAAGAAGAAAATGAAGCAGAGAAGTAGGGAGGATGAAAACCAAGAAGCCTGCCCTTTGATATGAGGAGAGGAAATTTCCAAATCACTTTCAGATCCTTGGTCCCTTATCCAAAGGAAGACACATATTTATAGCCAGGCAGTTCCACTTCCTGGTGCTTACGAGAACCCCAGCACTCTGGCAGTCTTCCTCCATGTCACCTATGCTCTGTTCCTTACCCATAGCAGTACAACTCTTCTCTGCTCCCAGTGTCTGCTGGGGCGGCTGATTAAATTCACAGTTCACGTCTACACTAATCATGTAAACGTAGGTCAGTTACACCACATCCAACCACACCAGACACTATCAGCTTATTTTAAAATTTGCAAACATCCAGAGTCGTGCGTGAGCAGACCAACAGTGAACTGTCAGAGTAACTAGACATGCTTACGCTAGTGTCAGCAACAGGCTGAGGTGTTGGAAGCTGTACCACGTATCTCCAAATATGAGCAGTCTGATCTCCAGAAGCTGAAGAGACAAATGGGGGAAGATTATCCACTGGGCAAAACATGCATAAAATGTGCTCTTTCCTACACTGTGGCCAAACGTCAATCATGCTTTTCTAACTTAGTGATCATTTAGCAAAATAAATATACTTTATTTAAATAATGATTTCAGACTGTACAAGGCTATTAAGAATAGAACAATATACAAAATTAGGGTTACAATTACTAAAGAAAAGATTTCCTCTTTTACCTTAGAGAAACTTTGATTTCTCTATATTTAGAGAAATATTTAAGAAAATATGTTTTCTTAAATTCCTCTATATTTAAGGAAAATAATTATAAAGAGTTTATTTTTAATCTATGTAATAAGTATTCTATTGCATTACATTTGTGACTACAACAGTCTGAGATGTTTCGGGAAAGGGAATGATACCTGCATCCATTCTTCATTGTTAATAGGACTTAACAATATGTTTTACTTATCATGTTACTATTAGCATTACTTATTTGTGTTGCTTTCATATTCCTCTTCTTTCTAGCATAAATTTGTAAGAAAATGCTCTCATCAGGAGTGGAAGACAAAGAACAGCCACCCAGGGCACTGAAGGCCCTCTTAGACTCCTGAGTGGTATTCTCAGCCCTCTCCTAAGTGGTCTGCTTTCCATCTGTCTTCACTGCTGCAAGACTTACCTAAGGAAGTTTCCATGAGCTGACAGTGCATTTGTTATAGCCGAAATCAACTGACTGGCAATTGCCAGTTTCTCTTCAAATCAACACTATATAAAAATTGCAGTCTAATTTTTTCTTAGATGTCACTTGGTTTCGCTTCTCCTTTCTAAGCCTTTGGTTTATATCTAGACAGATCCAACTTCCATACTCCTAGTGTCTTTCCTCTCTACCAATCAAACAATAAACCTTCAGTGTCTTCCCCACCTCAACTCCTCAGATATGTAGTAAGAAGGATATGATCATCAAAGACTGGGAAATGATTTAGAGTAAGCTTCCCATCACGTGTGAAACGTCTTGCTCACTACACATTAAAAGTACTCATGTTGGGCTCCCTCTTAAACCTTCCACCTGCACAGAGCACTGTGTCTTCTCAACATGCATACTCTATCCTGGGTCAGCACAATCTGGACCATGGGGAAAGTGCAGACATTTCCCCATTTCCATAAATAAACTGTCATGTCTCATCACCTCCTACAGAGACACACTTTCATGCTATAAAAACAGGACAAAGTAGAGACAGACGTCATACAATCTGTCAAAGACAATATACTTACTAACTGGTCTTTTTCAGAAGCATGACAACCTCTGGCCCACCAGAGCTAACACATACTCTCCAAGATTATAGCCTGTACCCCAAAACATATGACTCCACAGCTGCCTGACAATTTTGTAGAAAAAATCCTCAGTTCAAAAGGCTACCTTCAGGCTGGAGAGCTGGCTCAGTGGTTAAGAGCACTGACTGCTCTTCCAGAGGTCCTGAGTTCAATTCTCAGCAACCACATGATGGCTCACAGCCATCTATAATGAGATCTGGTGCCCCCTTTGGGCATGTGGGCACACATGGAAAGAATGTTGTACACATAAATAAATAAATAAAAAATTTTTTTTAAAAAAAAGGCTACCTTCTAAAAGCAGTAAATCAAGCTATGTTTTTAAAGCTAGTCTAAAATATAACATACACAAGCTATTGAAGCTTAGGTAAATTACCTAGAAAGGAATGGAAATAGTTCATAAAATGTCTATTAAAGATTGTCTAACTTTCGTAAGTGCTATGGATAATTCTGATAGTACTAACAAAAGAATACAAAATTTACAGCTGTTTTAAGATTACTAATAATTTCATTCAAGAAAGGAAAAACAAACATACCAGTAAGAGCCAACTGCTCTGAGGGATGAAATTTTATAGAATTTACTGCAAAACAAAATATTAAAAAAAACAGGTTTAAGATAACAAACCATGTCATCAATATTTATTAGCTGTTGTATTACAAGTTAGTCATAAATTTAAAAAAAAACTATGACAGTTTGAGAATTTTGCCAAATTTCAAAAAATTATCCTTTAGTACAATTTTGTTAGCTATGCCTTTAAAATTATGTTTTACTAAGAAGCTACATAAAAAGGAGAGAATTCTATTTACTTTCAATACTGAAATAAATAATATAAAAGAGCTGGTGAAAAATGTTATTTTCTTATAAGTAATAAATGTTATAATGCTAAAAATAAGCAAATTTATTTTAAAAATAAACCAGGGGTAAATGGGCTAGAGAGACGACTTAGTGGTTAAGAATTCTTACTGTTCTTATAGAAAATTCAGGCTCAGCTCCCAGCATCAACATGGCTGCTTACAACCTGTTAAAACTCTAGTTCCAATAGATCCAACACCCTCTTCTGACCTCTCAGCACCAGGCACACATATGGTGCATATAAATTTTCAGGCAAACATAATACACATAAAATAAAAATATATACATCTTCCTTTTAAAAGCATGGAGACTGTACCACATGTTCTACAAAATTTTATCATATTTTTGAGTTCCTAGTACTATATTTGGGGCACTGTATTTATAAACTAAGAAAGAACAGACTAATAAGAAAGGGACAAAAGAGACAAGCAGCAGGAACAGCTTGCTATTTTATGACAATGTTAATACTATAAAGGGAGAGAAGGTGCTAACAAAGAGAGGAGGTGGGGGAGAGGCTAAGATTCAGAGGCCTAGCCTTAGAGGAGACCACCAAGATGGTCAGGAAGGTGCTGAGTTAAATAAAGATTCATTCATGGGTGTGGCTTAGCACAAGCTAAAGGTGAGGTTGAGTCTATAAATGTGAGCCTAAGCCAAACTCCAACATAAGCAGAGATGTTGTTCTCAAAAGACACACACTGTGTCCCTCTCTTTGGCTACCAGACTGTCACCTTTTCTCAACTGGGAGAATTATTGTGTTTTAACAACATGCAGGAGTCCATCTGAAGCTGACTTCCAAAAACAAAAGAGGCTTCCATTCTATATAAAAGACCAAACGAATGGATCCAGGGACTAAAAAACTCAGGACTGAAATGAGTGGGAATATTACTTATCAAAAAAAAAAGAAGACTCTTTCAAAACTGAGAATCTTTAAACCCTGTTTTCTTCAGGTTAAACTTAGCACCAACAAAAAAAAGAAGGAGGGAGGGAGGGAGGGAGGGAGGGAGGGAGGGAGGGAGGGAGGGAGGGAGGGAGGGAAAGAAGAAGTTTCTGTAAGAGAATGGAGGCAACAGGAGCCCAAGTCCCTTCCCTAAACTCACATTATGTTCTAGCCTCTGTCCTGCTGATTTCTATGAACTGTTAGGATGGTCACAGGCACAGCAGAGAAGAAATCACACACTCCTGACCTAAGTGCCCAATAACAAGACTATCAACGCTAAGGGAACAGGGGAGCTAGCAAAGGAGGCAGCCCTGCACAGAGACTGGATGAAGATATTCTAGGTGGAAGAAATTTACAAATGTTTGGAAGAAAAATTTAAAAATGAAATTTGATCAAAACATTGTTGACACCCAGGATTCACTGAAGAGGCAGGAGAGAGCTACTGCAGAATAGAAACTGCAGCTCCAAACACAGGCTGTGGGAGCAGCCTTTACTTTGCCTGACCAAACTATTAAGCATTAATCTCTAAGACATGGTTCCTAACAATTATAAAGTTACACAATGAAGACTAACACATAGCACAGCTTGTCTTTTCCCTGTATTACTCATACAAGGTAAAGCTTATCTACTCTGACTGCATTACACTGTCCCCCACCCACCAAAATATTAAAATTTTATATCAAGTATAAAACTTTCTACCAATATAGACAGTATTATGAAGAAAACTAAAAAGGCACCGAAGAAACCCAGCTTCTGATGCTGTGCCCCTTTAGGTAAATGCTTACCTGAGCCCATATGACCGGCATATTTGACAAGACATCTGCCCGTCTCTATGCTCCACAGCAAGGCCGTGTGATCTAAAAAGACAAAGATGTCAGAACTTAGCCATCACTAATTTGACAGTCTCTTAAAAAGTACAATAATATTCTAAAAAATGTTGTCATATAGCCCTAATAGGTATTTTAAATTTAGTTTTATTTTATGTGTATGGACATTTTTGCCTGCGTGTATGTCCATGTACCCTTGAAGGATAGGCGAGGGTTCTGGATCCATTGGGACTAGAGTTAAGAACAGCTGGGAGGCACCATGTGGGTGTTGAAAATCAGAACTCAAACTGGGGTCTCTGGAAGAACAGCCAGTGTTCTTACCCGAGTCATCTCTCCAGTCCCCCAAACAGTTCTTGCAACTTTGATTCTACTACTTTGTACAATTCAATTATCCTAAAGTGTTGTGACTTGTCTGAAGCCACGGAACTGGAAAGGACAACTGGACTTGACATCCTAGTGGACTATGACACTGAGGCCATCACGTGTGAAACTGGCATGCAGACGTCATCACAGGTCTATTATCTTCTCCTAAAACCAGAGCCTTCCAGAACACTTGTGATTCTCAAAGTCAATTCGCCTCCAATTCAGTCAAATTATATGAAATGATGGCTATCCCTTTGGACCTTTTCTTCTCATAAGCATTGGGGGGAGGGGGGGTAAAGGAGAATTAAAGAAAATTCTAAAATGAAATAGTAGTCAATTATCCAAAGGAAATTTCAGAATCATTAGAAGTCACTCCTCCTTTTTTAATAATACTTTCAAACCATCCAAGATATTTTAGTATGACTACAACTACAAACAGGCAAAGACACTCTCAACACTCTAAATAGGTTTCCTGTGTCTTTTACTTTTAAAAATAAGAATCCAGGCCAGGTGGTGATGATGGACTCCATTAATTCCAGGACTTGGGCAGCAGAAGCAGGCAAATCTAAGTGAGTTCAAAGCCAGCCTGATCTTTAGAGCAAGTTCCACAGAGCTACATAGTGAAACCCTTTCTCAAAATGCAAAACAAAACAATAAAAAGAGAGAATCTAACGAGAAAGGAACTTCTCATAAGCTACGAAAGTCATTTTCAACAACCAATTATCATTTCTATCTGAAGAGATAGTGTGTTTGACTAATCTGAACTTTCACGAATTATCCTGTTAGTGATGAAACCTACCCTGTGACCCCCGAAGAACATCCTCCCCTGAAGAGCAGCCTCCTGTGACAACTCAACAGTCTAGAGAATATGCATTTTTCAGTTGCTAGCAGAAACTTCCCCTTGACTGCTAGAAGAAAAATGACAAACCTGTCCCCAAATCAGAAGCACATCTGGCTTGAACAAAAACAAAGCCAATCAAAACAATTATTTAATGTTTAAAAACTATCTCACCTATGCTGTGCCGACCATTCAGACACAGACACTCTCACATCACTAGTGGGAGCCAAGTCTCTCCTTCCTTAAAAACATTAACCCAACCTTAGCCGTGACATTCACCCACGGGACTACTGCAAAGGAAGACTACAGGTCTCAGAAGTGGGTGCTCCCCTGCCAAGGCAAAGGGTTTCCTTTTCTTTTCCCTTCTTTCCTCTTAATTTCATTTTTGTTTGAGAGACAATGTGACACGGCTTTATATCACACAGTCCATGCTGGCCTGGAACTTGAGGTCCTCCTACCGCTACCTTGAGTGCTGGGACTTTAGCATATACCACCAAACCTGGATCCAAAGCTTCGGTTTCAAAAACTCTTCCAGCATGTTTTTGTTTCCAGGAACTATTCTGCCACTGCTAACTGTAAGTCACTTCCATGAGCTTTCAACCAAAGCCATATCTTATAAGCCAGCTGCAACAGTGTCTGGCTCACCAGCAGACGCTGTCCCAAGAACCACAGGCTGTGTCCTTGCAACACTGACATCCCAGATGCCATCCCTGTGGCCAATATACTCCTTCACAAGCTGGCAGATGGCCCTTGATGTGGTAGTCTTAAAGCTGGAGACAATCTAAATTAAGAAGAAAAAAAGCACTTTTAAACACTGAATTTAATTTCTCTAAGCTAAAAAAAAGGTAAAATAGCAAAAAGATGTCTTGAAAGATGTGTAAGTAATTTAAGAGAATATTGTAACCACTAATGGAATATAATACAAGCATGAGCAGAAGGAGCTGCCGCACACAATACAGCTGTTTTCACTGCGCTCATTATCAGAGGCTGCAGAAAATTCTCCCACTCCACTAGTAGATTCTTATCTAGGTAATGTCTCATTACGAAGAAGGCACAGAAGAAGGTGGGCCTTGCAAGTCACTCTTCCACAAACCTCAATCACCAAACAAAACTCTCCATCTTTAAAACACACATATACACACAAAGAGAGAGATAGACAGACAGACAGTGCCCAGACAGAGACAGAGAAACAGGGACCAGACAGAGAGAGACAGAGAGAGAAACAGAAATGAAAAAGTTGAGAAAAACATACCCCAAGCTACTAACATTAAAGCATGTGTTTACAGAAGAACTTCCTTTTTTTTTTTTCCTGAATTTGATCAGTTTACACCAACCACATATCAAAACAAAAAAGCCCAGGCTGTAAGAGGAATCAAATGACCACACTTGTAGCAGATGAGGAGGTTTGTTAAAGATTGTTTATTGAGCACTTGCTGGAAGCCACGTGCCATGCTAAATGGAGACAGAGCTGGGAGATACAAAGGCCTTTAAGAAGCTCATATTCTAATGGGAAACAGACATGAAATGATACAGATGAGAAACACACAGTAAGGTACTGGTCCATATAATGACACACACAACAATTCTCATTTCCCTTGTAAAGAAGACTACAAAGTGAGGAAAAAATAAATGCAAAGATTTCTTTAAACTTTGGTCATGAAGCTGCACTGAGATAAATGAAAACATTCCATCTTTTAAGTAAATCTGGAAAAATATAAATAAAAAATCTATAAATCAAGCAAAAAATGAAAACAAAAATGAATGGATTCATACAGCTTGCTTTTAACAATGATTCCGCAAAGCCTAGAACATGTATATAAATTTACTCTTACATATACATATGCAGTCATAATCTGTTACATTAATTAGGAATGTGCTTTCAAATTATCCCCGACACAGTAAAAACAAAAACAAAATGCTTAGTTAAGAGACTGAAATTTTACAAATAATATAAGTCAATTCTATTTAACCTGGTTTAAATTTTACAGAAATAGAAAATGACTAGTTCAGATCTCACACCCATTGTTGTCATCTTATCATTCTAAAAGCTAGTCTCCCTCCTATAATCAGCAAAAGTATCCCTCTACATTATATGTAAGCTTGTACTTACAGAAAGTACCACCGAGATGCCAAATAGTATTACATTTTAGGGGGAGAGAAGTTACAGACCATACAAAATTTGCCACCATCCTTAAGTTGTGGTTCATCTTCCAAATCTCTCAACATTTCTAATATAAAGAATACTATTATGAGAAACTACTGAGCCACATTTCTTACCTACCCATTCACAAGGTAGAAGGGAAGAGGCACTACCGTGGGAATACAATAATAAGCTTATCATGAACACCGTGGCATACCATCTCACATGCCACTTCCACAGTGCTCACTATGCTTCAAAAACAAAACCAAACACTGACTTCAGCCAGGCATGGTGGTGCGTGCCTTTAATTCCAACACTCAGGAAACAGAGACAGGAGAATCTCTATTAGTTCTAGGCCAGCCTTGTCCATATAGTAAGTTCCAGGACAGCCAGGACAACATAGAGAGACCCTGCCTCTATTTAAAAAAAAAAAAAAAAAAAAAAAACCTGACTTGTTCAAGATTATAAAGAAATTCAACTGAATGAACAACAGCAGATTAATAAAATAATGACACAATGTTTTCCCCATCATCTTAAATCATTTTAACTACAACACAACCTAAAGTATGTTAAGAACAAATTAGAAAGACCCTTTCTACTACAAAAAAAAAAAAAAAACTTTCTAAAGAATATTTGCAAACATCTCCGTGGGTTTCAGGTAGACTGTCTTGCCCCAACCCCACCCCATAAGCAGCAGCAATCAGTCATGAGCAGCCCAGGAAAGGAATAAAACCTCTCCAGGTTTACTTCATACACCTCTGCACTCCCACTGTCTCACCAAACATGCTACTTGCCTTTCATGGCTCTGAGTCACAAGGAGGGCAAGTAATGAATCTAGACTGTAGCATGTTCTTGTTGCATTCGTGCTTAGCTTTAATACCAAGAATCCATGCTGTGGTACAAATCAGAATATATCGTTACCAAAGTATTTCTTCAATGTTCAGATGTCTTGTGTTTCATTATTTTTAAGATGAGTACATACACTGTACAAACTGCTGTAAAGTCCATTAGGAATAAGCTTCTGACATATTCTAATCCTAAAATGACTGCTGCTAAATAGTTCTAGTATATTTTGTAAGCAAAATACTATTGTGCATGCCCTTACCTTTGTCCAAACCTTGTTTTTATTGCTCATGATAAAAGACTGATATATATATATATATATATATCTACTTCAGAAATAACCAGAAAGTTCTGAATCCTAAGACCACACATTGTTTACACAGAATTGTAAGCATCAGAATAATCTATCTAATTCAAGAAAATGTAACAAGAAGTGAAGAACATAATTTTATACTTCATTTTGAAGAAAGACAAGTTAATTACAAATTTCAAAACTAGGGTGAACTAGACATTACAACAAACAAAAATCCAAAGAAACAGCAATTTACATTCCAGATGTTATCTAAGTACACAGTAGAATATATCAACAATACTCATGTTCTCTTCTAAATAATGATTATCAAGAATTTTTAAATAAGGAGAGAAGGCAGAAAGGCTAGACTTCCCCTCTTAGTGACAATTAACCACACTGTTCCTGCCAAATAAATGGCTGTAAGCCCAAGACAATGGATTGTAAAAATATAAGCTGGTGATATTTATGGAAATTGTAGTACAAATTTCAATTTTTATCCTCACATTTAACCCAAGAAGCATTCACCAAAGTTAGGGAATTAATTTACCTTTTACATACTCAAAATACTCCAAACTAGAGATGTATAATGAATAATATACAATAACTTTCCAAACAATTAAATCCTTGCACTTCAAGTCAGTATTAGGCACTTTACTAGGAAAACTCATGACTGCCCATAGATGGCTCAGAAGCACATGCTCACCTCCTTCTTATACTTAGAAAATTGAAAAATAATGAAAATGTAACTTTAGCCCAAATAGAATTTCACTCCATAAAGTTATCTATAACCTATCTCTCTGAATCCATATACTTTTTAACAAGCCAATTAACAATAAAAAATATATTGTTTTTCTAAGACAAAAAATTACTAATGCACAATATATTGATCTCACTGAAGTTAGTATCTAAGTTAGTATCTAAGCATCATATACTTACTACAGCCAGTTAGCAATGGTTGCATTTAGAAGCCAGACATTTTTCTATTACACATTTCTAACTGGAAAATATGCAAGTTAAAGTACACATCTGCACACCGTAAGCACCACATGACTGGTTCGAGAGCCAGTGCCTTGCATACCTTGCTGGTGGAAGCTTTGTAGGTGGTCTTTAGCTTCTGAGAAAGCTGACTGGTACTGTGACTGGCTGTGGAGACAGAGAACTGACAATCAAATACCCTTAAACTCAAGAACCACAGCATTACAAAGTGCAGCTATGCTGGAAAAAGGGAAACTCATATCTGTGACCCCATCAAGTCACAGACAACAGAAGAGCTGGAAGAGGGACCCAAACTCTGTTATCTGACCTACATCTGAATTATGCATTCCAAGTCTGGCTGACAGCAGACAGCAAAGGAGTCAGTGTCCTCCAGTAGATCCCAGTTCCCTTGATAAGTAACATATATATACACACACACACACACACACACACACACACACATACACACAATACTTTACAAGCATTTATTTTACCTTTTGTTTTGAGCTGGCCCTTACTCAATTCTGCCCCATCAATGGCTTGTCCTTCACCAGCTAAGCGTTCATTAAGAGTATCAATTTCTCTGCGCACTGGAAATAAAAACATTCCTTTTTAAAAAAATGTAAAATTTGGTCTTATGTTCAAATGTTTTCATCACTTCTAAAACTTACATACATGAGAATGTTGTGAGTTAGGACTATCAAAAAAAATAGGACGTGAAAAATATTCTAAAAAGCAAGGTGATAATTTATAGTGTCCAATACTCAAGCCATCATACCAGGTATCATTCCAAGAACAAAAGTCAGTGCTGGGAATGAAGTTCAGTTGGTAGAGCGCTCACCCAGCATGCATGAGACCTGGGTTTCATCCGTGCACCATATTTACAAGATATGGATGCCTAGAATCTCAGCATTTAAAAGGTGAAGACAAGAGAATCAGAAGCTCAGAGTCATTCTCAATTACATTTCAAGTTCAAGGCCATTCTGGACTGCATGAGATCCAATCTTTAAAAATAAATAAATGAAAGCTCACTCTTGTGACCCTGTGACAATGTAACTATCAGGATCTCAAGCAGAACCCTGCATATCCAAATTCTTATTCCAGCATAGTTTCCTTTTTGGGATTTCATGCACTTAAAAACATTCTGGTACTGCCTAAAATTCAGTGAAATAATTACAGTTTACTTGTAGATACTGAAACTGAGGAAAAAATATAGTAAAAACATGCAACTACTGGTATGACATAGGAAAATCTCCACATGAGGATTATGTGTAACACAGATTTTAAATTCCAGGATGAATAATTAGTAGGAAATGCAGGATTGGGACCATTACAAGGAACACAATCACTGAAGACACAGAGAACTATGATTCTCTTTACTATCAAAAGGACCTTGAAAACGGCCTCAGGCATCCACACTGTGAAACTAAAAGAGACTCGACGGGGAAGTAACTAAGTACTAACCTGGTACAGCTGGAACCTGACTTACACACAGGTTCACCCAACTCTAGGCCCTACCTGCCTGCCAGAATACCATGAAGCTTCCTGGAACTGTAGGGTACTTGTCTGACCAAAGTTTAAAACAAGTCAAGATCACAAATAGGCTGAGGACAAAAGGCTCTACAAAGCACCCGTGCTAAGAAACTGGGACTTATCAGTACCAAGGGGAGAGGCAGGGAGAAGAGCAGAGAAAAATGTAGAGCTCAATAAAGATCAATAAAAATACATTTCTAGATAAAAAAGATCCTTAAAAGCTGATGCTATACATAGTAACTACCTTATTTTATTTAACTGGTTTTTTGTTTGTTTGTTGAGACAGGATTTTTCTGTGTAGTTCTAGTTGTCCTGGAACTCACTCTGTAGACCAGGTTGACCTTAAACTCATAGAGATCCACATGCCTCCATCTCCTTAATGCTGGGATTAAAGGAATGCACCACTACCCAGCATTTATAACAAAATTAGAATTGGTTCTTCCTCTAAGTTCTCAAGATACATAAAAGTAATGTAGAAAACCCAATATTAAAACATTAAATTTTCCAAGAGCAAAATGTGAATGACACAGAATTGCATTTTCTTTATGACTTATCTAACCACAGAAATTAAAGGTGTAAAACAGTCTATAATTTAATTGCTGCTTATTAATATTCATTCAATTCTTAGAGAAAGTAATTTCATTACAGTTTAAATGGTATACATGTTATAAACACCATCCCTCCCCCAAAATGAAAATTACCCATTAACACCAAAAGGGATAAAAGACATTAATTTCCCAATGGTGAAGCATTAACAACACATCTGCCTGATCTAAAATTGGATGAAAACTGCTCAGCCTCAAAGACATATCACCAGAAGAACTCAAAGCAAAAAAATACAGAAAATGTTTTCCTGGCCGGGTGATGGTGTCGCACGCCTTTAATCCCAGCACTCGGGAGGCAGAGGCAGGCAGATCTCTGTGAGTTCGAGACCAGCCTGGTCTACAGAGCTAGTTCCAGGACAGGCTCCAAAGCCACAGAGAAACCCTGTCTCGAAAAGCCAAAAAAAAAAAAAAGAAAAGAAAAGAAAATGTTTTCCTTTGAAGAATGTGATAGAGCCAAAGAGTTATATAAATTTCTTTAATATATGTCAACACATTTTTGAAAGTTTTGAAGAGATGATATAATTTATATAATTTATGACATACTTGGTATATAAAAATAAAGTCATTCATTTTGTATAAAACTGTGATTTTGATTGGTCGATCTGGTAACCCCCTCAAAGATTCTCAAGGCCCAGCCCTATAATTTATGAACAATGTTACCCTGTAAGTTCAACGGCTCTGCAAGTAGGGAGGTCACCCTGGAATATCCAGGGATTCAATCAAGTCACACTTTCTTAGGATTGGGACAGACAGAATGGTAAGTCAGAGAGGAAAGAAGAGAAAGCATACATCACTAAAGGAGATGCGCACATAAGCCAACAACAGTGATAAGGGGCCTGTCCTAAAAACACAGTTAACTGCATTCTGTCGCCACACAAACAAACAGGAAATGTTTGTCCCTACAATCTCCAGAAAGGAAGACAACTCTGCCAAAATTTGACATCATCCTGTCAAGAATCATGCAAGGTCCACAGAACCATAAGATATCATGCAAGGTCCACAGAACCATAAGATAATCTTTTTATGTGTATGGGTATTTTGCCTGCATGTATGTCTATATACTACATGAATGCCTGGTACCCTTGGTTGTCCGAAGAGGGCACAAAACTCTTGAAATTGAAATTAAAAAGTTGACAGCAGTCCCGTGGGTGCTGGGAATTGAACCCAAGACTTCTGGAAAAGCTTTTAACTGCTGAACAACCTCACCAGCCCCAATAATATGATTAAGTCAACATGTTTAACATCAGAATAGAAAATAACAGAGTAATGACTCTAAACCACAAATATTATTATCAAAGAGTTCAGCAGAGAAGTAACCACTTTTTAAATACACTAAGGTAGGAGATACTCACATTCTAAGTTTTCGATGTAAAGGTTTTCAAATTCTCTTTCTATCTGACCAAACAGTTCCAACAATGTGCTGCGAACTGAGGAAGGCAGTTTGGAATCCTGTATAAGACAAATATTTTCGTTTAAAATGAACAAATGAATCACTTTAATACCAGGCAACACTTGTTTTCAAAGTGAATTATCATTTATCTTAAACTCTTACTTTATAACATGTATTTTATAGCTTATAAATATGAAGGTTTAAAGAATTTAAAATTTAGCTAGGCATGTAGCTCAGTGAGAGCATGTACTTAGCATGCACTTGGGTTCAATTCCCAACACTCAAAATTTGAGATTCAAGTTTCTACAAAGGAAACAATAATCAAAAGGTATTCCTAGAGAAATACAAGATTTAAGAGCAAACATTTTACAAAATAACATAACTTTTCTTTTTACATGTGTGAACATAGTTCTCTGAAGAAGCCGAATATGTGCTAAAGATCTTAAAGACTAACTGGCAAACCAAAACATCATGATTGTGGATCCGTGAGGTTTCAGAAAGAGAACCCAAACAACCTGGAACTGCCTTCAGTGTTTTTTTAACAGTCATTTACTATCAACGTCAGTAGCTGACCTAACATCCTGATTGCCAGGTAAACCTTTAGACTGCACTGGGCACACCTCAAGCGTCCACCAACCTAAAAGCTAAGGCTGTCAGAACATCTGAAACCCACAGCAAAGACTCCCCTGCTCTGCGGCAGCCTGCCTATGATATGGCCAGTGCACTGGCATTGCCACTCTTCTGTTAGGTGCCTCTTTCACAGTAGAGCAGGTTATTAGTGAACATAATCTCTGTTCTTAGGCCTTGGTCACACAGATTTGACACAGAGTAGACTTTTTACTTTGATAGAAAAGTTCTGTTTTTCAGTGACACAGAGGGAACAGGAGCTTACTTTATTCAAATTTTCCAAATTCACAGAGAAGCAAAGCCATTCCCAAAAGTGAAGCTATGTTACAAATAGTCTTTAGGCTCTACCATAAGCTATTAAAAACAAACAAACAAAAACTATTCACTATTTCAATGGTCTATACACTGATAGAGAGATGTGACTCATCACCTAATTAGATCCACTGAGCTTCAACAAAACAAACTAAAGATTTCCTATAACTCTAGACAAGAACTAAATGTCAATAAAAAGAGAACAAAATGTCTAGTAGTTTAGTGAACACATAATAGGGCATAGCCTTCATGCCTTTGCACACTTCCCCTCCCACTTCCGGTCTCTATCTAAAAGGTAAAGTGAAGGCAAAAGAAAGTAACACAACATATTTCCAAGTTAAACATATAAACACTTCCAAGTACCACATAGTTCACAAAATAATTTATATTTCCTGAACACTGCTAATAGAGAGAAGACTACTTAATTTGCCTATCTTCTATTCTAATCTCCACAAGGACACTATCTAAATTATTAGTATGTATGCACCACCCTTCCCCAGCATAAAAAAAAATCTTTCAAAAATAAAATTCTCAAATACTTCTATATTAATGTTCTAATATTTGAGTAACATCAGTATAATCTTCAAGTGACTTTTCAAGCGTATGTACAACACCAAATGTGGAGACCTGATAAGCTGCAAATTAAAAAAAATATTTATACATACATATTAATTAAATTCCACCTTAGCTTAACTTCTTAGGACTATAAATTTCAGAAACCAATGAACATTTCTACAATTTGAACTTTTCAATAGTCATGTGCTTTCCCCTAAAGTTTGTAAACTATTTAAAATATACACATGCTAGCTTAAACACTGAATCTGAGAACTAGTAATCTTAACATCTCTCTAAAAAATTTCACTTACAAATTAAGATATAGAACGTTAACCGAATACAGCATTATGGTGATTACCCTTCACCTTCTTTTTGATTCTATTCCCTAGTAACTGAAAGAGCTCCGCCACACTGTGTCTAAAGTGATTACTCCTGGAAGTCAGACTAGTGACACTCAACCCATCTCTATTTCCTGCAGCAATCCACCCACACCTACCATGCCAGCTGCAATAGCAGACACTCCCTTTCTTCCCTCCTGGAAAGGGAAGGGCACAGAGGCCACTCAGAGATCATGCTAGTTGGTTTCACTCCAAACAAACTGTCTATCTCACATGGAAAATTCAGAGAGCCAGTAGAGCAGTGCACATGTCTAGGCTGCTCAGCTGAAAGAACTGTGAATTGCCTGTGAAATGCCTACTGTGAGATACAATTATACCTTATACTACATCACAATGGAAGACAATACTAAGAACAGATTTACCTCATGTGGGAAGTAACTCTAGAATATGCCAGCAAACAAAGTAGAATTTTCACTGCTAGTAATGTGAGTAAATCAAAAAACTTTTAAGAACCATTTTGCATTGTCTACCTACACTGTCCAATTAGTAGCCACCAGCTACACATGACTATTTAAATGTCAATGTAGTTATGTTCTTGTTTAGTCTACATTTAAATACTAAGTCATACCAGTCATGTTTAACTGCCGACATGTTACACTGACCTTGTGGCACCTTTATCAAAGTTTAGAACACTTCCGTCATCAAGGAAATCCTATCACTCTCTCAAATGGATGAATAGTGACTCAAACCTGAATGCCCCCGAATGTGACTATAAGAGTCAAGATTAGGAGCTGGAGGGATGGTTCAGAGGTTAAGATCACTGACTGCTATTCCAGAGAACCTGGGTTCCATTCCCAGCACTGACATGGCAGCTAACAACTGTCTGTAACTCCACGATCTGGACACCCTCACATATACATGCAGGCAAAACACCAATGCAAATAAAATAAAAATAAATGAACTATTTATTAAAAAAAAAAAAGAGTCAAGATCTTTACTGAAGCAAGCAGTAAAATGTAGCTATAATGATAATCCTAATAAATTATGACTAGTGGCCTTACAAGAGTTAAGGAAAACACACACAAAGAGGAAAGACTATGAGGATGCAAGAAGGTGGCAGTCACCTACAAACTACAAGTAATGCCTTTGGAGGCCCTTCCACACATTGATCTTGGATTTCATCCTCCAGAATTATGAAAAAATTAATTTATATTTTCTAAGTCATATAGTTTAAGGTATTTATTGCAACCACCAAACAAAGTAAATACTGCCAAAGCTATTCTTATATACATCAGTAGATTAACTTTTTATAGAAAGTAGACAAGGGCGGAGTTGACCCTCTATAGTCAGAAGTTTTACACCTGTAGAGTCAGCCAACTGTAGATCAGAAGCATTGAGGCAAAAGCTAGATAAGGTGCAGCATGTTTGTAATCCCAGTATATGAGGAGCAGTGACAGAATAATTCCTAATATCAGGCCAGACTGAACTACATATAGCAAGATTCTCTGTTAAAACACAGAAAATATGTGCTGGAGGGGGGACTGTAAAAAAACAACCTGCACTAAACAGGGTGGTCACCATTTTATCATCACTTCCTAAACGCAGTGTAACAATTATGTTCCCAGCATCTACAGTGGATCAATTTCAACTCACTATCTACTCTGTGGAGGCCATAATCCTGTGGGTTTCTAGGTGAACACTACTACCCCTATAGAATTTATATACTAGCAGGCCCTTGCAAGAAGTTGCTTACACAGTTCTAGTAAGATGATGAGGCTAATTTCTCAGAGGTAAGCCTTTTTATCCTGCGGCACTATGGCTGGCACAGTCTAATTGTGGAAAAAAATGGTGATAAAAGTTGTTTTGACTAAATCTCAATTGTTCGATTTTACCAATAAAGACTCAGAAGTCAGATACTGGGGTAAAAGTCTGCTAGCTCAGAAAACCAGAAAAAGCACTCAGCTGACTTTCCTCCTCCACCAATGTCCCAGAAAACTCTCCTTTCTCCTACGCCATCTCAAACAAAACTCTCAAGCTCAATGTCCCTCCCTTCTCCTTCCTATGCATCTCTCTATCCATCCTCCTGACTCTCTCTTACCCTCTATATTTTTTTCCTTTTTGTTTTGTGTGTGTGTGTGTGTGTTTTCTGAGAAAGGGTTTCTCTGTAGCTCTGGAGCCTGTCCTGGAACTAACTCTTGTAGACCAGGCTGTCCTCAAACTCACAGAGATCTGCCTGCCTCTGCCTCCCGAGTGCTGGGATTAAAAGCGTGCGCCACCACCACCTGGCTATGATTTTTCTTAATAATCCTATGTTTACTTCATGTCAATTGGTTGCTTGTTCCACCTCTTGACCTATGGTTGACTTTACTTGATCCTGTTTACAATATTCAAGCTCTTGAATTAAAGGTATGTGCTAGGCCTGAGCCATACCATTCATTTTCCCAATGAATAATACAATCTCAGGTTCACAGTGTGATCAAATATCCTGCAACAAAAATCATAGGTGCATACTTATATAGACATATACTGCATGGTTATTTTAATAAAACATACTTTATCTCTATAGACTTCAAAATAATACTCTTCAAATATCCTAACATTTTGACTTCTACAAAGGCACTAGAAAAACACACGCAAAACTGAACGTTATCAGTCGTGTATTAGTACGTTCATCAAAGAACAGTATACTCACCATAGCAGAGACAAAATCAAAGGCAAGTTAAGTCACCTCAGAGAACAAAAAGAACATCAAAACTTATTCTCCCCTTTTCTTGAGACCATTAGAAACAGAAAACCTGTCTGAAAAGTCTAGAGCTAAACTTCTTTGAGACAACATGTACAAAGAGTAAAATGAGTCCATGCTGTCATAGCTGTATCTTTCTGTTATTATTATAAATATATTGATATTAGCCAAGCATGATAGCTCAAGCCTTTAATTCCAGCACTAGGGAGACAGAGGCAGGTGAATCTCCATGAGTTCAAGGCTAGCCTGGTCCACATATTGAGTTCCAGGATGGCCAGGACTACACAGAGAGACCTTGTCTCAAAAACAAAATAATAATAATAATAATAAAAATAAACCAAAAAATATAATTCTATCTCTGTGTATGCTGGTGAATTTACTGTGTTCTTTTAAAGGTTTGGTTTCTTGTGCTTTAGAAACCCACATGCACTACCAGCATAACAACCATCTTTAAAATGGGCACTGACCAACACTGACTTACCTGTCCTTCTAACATCTCTCTTGGTAGTCCAGTCCTCTCTTGTTCTGAGCTGTTAGTTCTTCGTATGGAAAGGCTATGAGATTTGCGCTTTTGTTTTGCTTGGCGAGCAGTTGAACAGCTTCCGCTTTCTGTGGGCATTACTTCTAGGAGGTAGTGTCCTGGTCACGCCTGCAATAAGCTAAAAACAGCAGGGAAAACAAGTACTTCATTTCTGATACAGCCAATTGAAACAACCAGCAGACAAGGTAAAGATTTTTTCCCCACTATAGTTTAGAAATCTAGTGTTGAAGTCTTACAGTGACTCCTGTTGTTTAAACCTTTCTCAAAACTGTTTTAACTATTTCAGTTCCTTGATCAAATCTTCTAATCTTCAAAAGATTTTTTTTAACCTCAGAAATTCTTGCTTTATGGGTTAGAGAGATCATTTAGTGGTTAAGTGCACTGGCTGCTCTTCCAGAGGCTCACAACCCTCTGTAACTCCAGTTCCAGGGGATCTGACACCTTCTTCTGGCCTCAACTTGGCACCTGGCACACATGCTGCACCGACACACACATGAAAGCAAACCACCCATACACATTATATTTTTTTTAATTCTTGTTGTAACTTTAAAAAGAATTTTGTTAAATCTGTTTATCAATTTGGGACTTCAAACCTATGAAAACATTTGCTCTTTCAGCAGTTTTCAGTTTACTTCTAAATGAGCAACTTATTTCTTGATTTCACTAAAATATCTTCTTCATATTTTTTAGCATTTAAACACTTCTTTGTTTCTCATGTTAACTGGTAATATACAAAATACAAAAGATTACTGTGTATTGGGCTTGTACCTCACATTCTTCTTTATAAATCTGAGGGAAAATGTAGATTATTTTGTCATGTTTTGCTGTTGCTGTTGTTTAATGTAAACTACTGTTCCACCTGAAAAAAGCAAGGATAGTTTCTTCCTTTTTAATTTGCAAGTTTTATTTCTTTATATTTTACCGATTTGGCAAGAAACTGTAGTACATCCTTGCTCTTTTTTTCTTTTTTTTTTAATATTTATTTATTTATTATGTTTACAGTGTTCTTTCTGTGTGTATGCCTGCTGGCCAGAAGAGGGCACCAGACCCCATTACAGATGGTTGTGAGCCACCACGTGGTTGCTGGGAATTGAACTCATGACCTTTGGAAGAGCAGGCAATGCTCTTAACCACTGAGCCATCTCTCCAGCCCCTTGCTCTTTTTTTCAATTCCAAAGTAAGAACTTATTATCTTATACTTTACTGACCTTGCTAGAAATTTTAATACATTTAATACTTTTTCTTCAGTTTCAAGGTAAGAATAGCCATCGCCACTGAGAATAAAGCCAGTTACAGATTTTCTATAGTTATTTACCAAGTTGACAACATTTCTTTCTCATGAATTTTCTACCAGCTTGTCCTAAATTGTCATGCTTTTTCTGCACCAATTAATATGGGGGCATGGATTTTCCTTACACTGATTATTTTCAAATACAGATCAATACTGACATTCATGGAAAGTCATTCTCACTCTATCCTCTTATTTTCTCTGCTTTCTTATAGATTACCCAGTGCGTTTAGAATTTCACATTGAGAACAGAGAGATGGCTTGGCAGATAAATCACTGTGTAAGGCTGACAACTCAATCCCGTGAACCCAAATCACACACACACACACACACACATACACACACAAACACACACACAATATTGTGGTCCATATCTGTAATATATATCCAAAACCTGTATAACCATATAATACTTATGTTTTAACTATTTTGAGGAAGCTCCCCGCTGATTTATGTTTCCAACAGTGTACAGGATTCCTCTTTTCCCTATATCCTCAACAATAACTGTGTTTTGTTTGTTTGTCTTGTTTTGTTTTCTCTTGATAGGTATACTGGTAGACATAACTTGACACAAATCTAGACACATCTGGGAAGGAATCTATTTTTATTTTTTTATTTTTGGTTTTTCAAGATAGGGTTTCTCTGTGTAGCTTTTGAGCCTGTCCTAGAACTTGCTTTATACACCAGGCTGGCCTCAAACTCACAGAAATTTGCCTGCCTCTGCCTCCTGAGGGCTGGAATTAAAATAAAGGCATGCACTACCACCTCCCAGCTGGAAGAAGGACTCTTAATTGAGAAGATGCCTGCGCAGACTGGCCTGTAGGCAAGTCTATGATGTCTTGCTTAACGATTATGTAGGAGGGCCCACTATGAGAGATACCACCCAGGGTTGTATAAGAAAGCAGGGTAAGCAACCCATGGGGAGGAAGCCAGTAAACTACACTCCTCCATCTCTGCTTCAACTCCTGCCTCTAGGTTCTTACCTTGAGTTCCTGCTTTGGGACAGACTAAAAATCAAATGTACCCTTTCTTCCCTGAGTTGCTTTTAGTCATGATGTTTATCACAGCAACATAAAGCCAACTAAGGTAACAGGCATTCTGATTGGGTGAGACAAAATCTCAATTCAGTTTGGATTTGCAGTTCTCTGATGGATAAAGATGCTGAACATTAGACATTTCTATTTCTTCATTTGAAAAGTATTTGCTCAATTTATTTCCCTACAGGCACTATCTTCATCCCAAACTATGTACTGGTATTAACACAAGAGTAATTAGAGCGGAAAAGGGGGGGGGGGTCAAAGTTCAAAGCTAGCCTTAACTGAATAATGAGTTCAAAGCCATCCTGGGCTACCTGAAACCCTGTCTCAAAAAAAATAAATGGCCAGAAATTAGGGGTCCACACTGTTCTTCCAGAGGACCCAAGTTCACTGCAGGGACAGTCAGGCAACTCACCACCATCTGTAGCGCCAGCTCTAGACTCTAGACTTGTAAAGTCTAGAGGATTTGATTCCCTCTTCTGGCTTCTGTGGCCACTGCACTCATGTGCCATGCATTTATGCAGATACAATTAATTAAATGTTTGATTTACTAAAAATTTCAGAAAGTTGACATCGTGGCAAGGACAATGAGGTTGCAAGCTCTTGTAAAAGAACTATTGAAATGGTATACCTAGAACCCAAGCTAGACTAGGGAAAACAGAAAGAATGGCGAGTAAATGAAGGAAAGTCAATGGTGGGCAGACCTGAGGTTGAAAAACTACTACAAAGGAATGCTTATGCGACTTAAATGGACTGATAAACACAGAGAAACTGATTCTCACACAAAATCACTGTCAGGCAGAATTTTCAAATTCAGTAAGTAGTTTGACAGTATTTTACAAACTAAACAGAATATTAATCAGACAACTGAAAAAAAGAAAGGAAACTGCTTCACTCTGGTCTGCAGGGACACAGTGGCCAGTGCCTTTAACCCCAGCACTGCAGGGGGGGGGGTAAAAGCAGGTCAAGGTCATTCTGGTCTACACAGAGAGTCCCAGGACAGCCAGAGCTTCGTGGAGAGGGATTCTGTCTCAAAAGAAAAAAAGTAGAAAAGAAGAATCTGGGACAGGACATAGTTCAATGGGAAGGAGACAGCTAAGCATGGTTGATATCATGGGTTTCAATACCAGCACCACACATACACACAAAAAAAAAAAATATTTTAAAAAGTTACTTTTACTATGTCCTACTTCACCTATATACACTTTTTTAAAAAGGGAAAGAAATCTGATGCTCCAAAACATAATTGTTTTCTTTCAAAACACATCTACACGATTCAACAGACAGCTGAGCACTGATACGAGACAGAAAACACTAAAGGGGAAGCTACAATAGTTTCCTCCTGCACTCTTAACTGACGCACGGTCGTCAGAAACATTTGTCCTTATTACATGCAGTCACAGGCATATTCTCTGCTATTTGTAAGCAAGGCAGAACTATACACGTCCAACTTTAGTGCAGCATATTTAACAAATGAGTAAATCTCAACACACACTGAAAATGTACTGAATTCACGCCTTGGCAAATGGTATAGCATTAAACGACATAAATAAACACGTAGCTTTCTCTCTTCTCAAAAGGTCCGCTTTAGTATGTATGTTCAATATTAAATTGTTACTACCTACATTACCAGATTTTTATTAAGTATATAGGACCAAAACAAGAGCTTGCTGAAGTAGTTTTTTAAGCAGTATAGAAAACTCTTAGTTTATGCTTTTACTTTAAATGATATAAAACACTACTCTCCATCCCATACCTTGCAAAAAGGACTTTATTTTTCTTCCAAGAAAAAAGATACCTGCCTTATTTCAAAATAAGTACTTGGTTTATTTCAAAAATATTAAGTATATGTAAAAGAATGGTTATACAATTTGTACATGGTAGTATACAATGTCACTGAATATCCAGAAATTCAGTAAGTTAATACTATTACTACTTTATTATAATAGTTCTTTTAGATTAACTCCTAGGGGGCTGGAACACCAATGTAATGTCTAACCAGTATCCGAAGAGAAAATGGTCTCCACAAGCAACCTTGGAAATCTGTCACCAGCATTAAGTTGCTTAAAATGTTCTGTCACTGATGAGTTGAAGGCACAGGATGCAAACTTATCGATCACAAGGATGACACTGAGCTGGCCAGCATCATTAATTAAATAAGCTACCACCAAGGTTTTATCTTAATAACTGAAAAAAGAAATTCAAATCTAGAATGAAATTTAATAGAAATAGAAAAACATTTTTTTCCTTAGAGAAATCAGGACAGGATAACTGAAAACTCTTAGGAGAATAAGAATAAATTGCTGGGGGAAATACCCAATCCCAACGATATTAGCTAAAGTCAAGGGCAAAGTAAGTTTATAGACCACCATATTTATAAAACAAAAGAAGAGGAGGGAGGAGGAGGAGGAGGAGGAGGAGGAGGAGGAGGAGGAGGAGGAGGAGGAGGAGGAGGAGAAGAAGAAGAAGAAGAAGAAGAAGAAGAAGAAGAAGAAGAATCATCATCATCATCATCATCATCATCATCAACACAGAGCAAGAGAAGATCAGGAAGGAAACTTACTTAGTAAGGTCTTGGGTTCAGAACTTTTTGCAAGAAGCCTTGATATATACACTACCTTCCAACAGCAAAAATGCGGCTGACATAAACACTACGGTCACACTATTACTACCTGTGGCCACTGGCTACCGCTCTAGTGTCTCCTATGGGCAACACTAATGGAAAGCCTCTACTCCACTTAGGTCGTATTTATATACTATGCTCAAGTGTGGGGACTAGATGTCAAAAGGAATCTACAAACCCTTGAATTTGGTCAGGAAAGTGACCAAAACAGCAAGGAAGGTAGCATAATTGAATATTTCTTAGAAAGGGAAAGGTATCCTGGAGGCATATTATCTTAAGCTGTACTGCGTATTTAGAGGTAAACAGTTTCAGTAATGCTTTGATGGCAAATTCGTAGGCCAAAATAATCAATTTAACGGAAACCCATCTGAACTTCAAAGAAACTACCCAGCAATCTACATTCGTGCAAGACAGTGGTGAAGAGCTAACGGAGTCTTCAAGCACAAGGAACGTCATTGAGTTCAAGTTGGATGATAAAACCTCTAAGAACCTGATCAATCGCTCGGTTATGTCGGCTCATAAATTGGGATCACATATCTATGCGACTTTTTGGTAAAACGGGCCTGTTGAGATGTCTTAAAATTAATGTCTATCTTCGGAGGTGGAAGTGTACAGGGGAAAGAAAAAGAGAAGTCTTCAGAAAGAGAAACAAAGGCGAGGCGGGGGGTTATCACTTCAGCATCCGCTCACCCTTCACTCTCCGTCCCCCACCCTTTCCCAGAGGCCGTACCCCCGTCTTTGAGGGATCGAAGGTCACCGTCTTCAAAAGCCCTTTCAAGGGTTTCCCCCCAGGGCACAGACAGCCTGGCAGACAACACTTGAAGACACGGGGAAGAAAGAGGGAGCGCGCAGGGTTAGGACGGCATCCCTCGTCCACCTCGAAGCCTTGACCAGCTCGTCCCCACCGCCACCCCGACACCTCACCTCCTCCGGGCTCACGGGAAGGACGCCAAGTCAGACAGCGGGGAAGATGGCGTCACTTGTCAGAGCAGCAGCACTCGCCTCCTCCTGGAGCCAGCCCGGGTTGCACTCAAGTCGTGGGTCCCCAAGCAGCTCCCAGGACCGACCCAAGGCAGCGTAGAAAATCGGCCAATTCCCGCACTGGCACGACCCGGCGACCCGAACTGGCGCGCCCGCACTTCCGGTAACTGCGGAAGTCCCGCCCTCAGATACACTTCACAACCCACAGTCCGGAAGCCCCGCCCCACACCCAACGGCTGCGGACGCTCTTCCCTGATTTCCTTCGCACAGTCCCACGAGCCCATCGCGCGCGGCCGGTCTCCTGTTTCGGCTTGCGGCTGTGGCGCGGGTTCCTGGCGGCCTCCACTGTGGCCTAGCTGTGAGCAGAGCCAAGACCCAGCGAGTGACTGCGGGAGAACGAGTATGCCGCCCCCTGGTGGCCTAAGCAGGCCCAGCACTTCCCCTGTAAGGCGCTTCCCACAAGATGCCAGACACAGTTACTGCTACATCCCAAATCCTAAACCCTACAAACACGGTAGTAGTGCATAGGACCCTTGCAGGAATGGTTCCCGGGGACCCTGTAGCGTCGGTAACATGGAAAAGCACACGCAGCCTTCGGAGCCGTGGGTACTCACCACTGCAGGTGTTCCGGTGAGGGGTCCACGGTCAGGCAGGTTTTAAGTCCATCTGTCCTAAAATCTCGCGCAAGCCCAACGACTGGAAAGGAAAACAATCTATTCAAATGCAAGGTCAAGGGTACTCTAACTTAATGGATTTCAGGATCTCTCAAATCCAACCCGCTTTACAGGCTGACTTGCTGGGTACCACTTCTCCGGCAGCTCTGTGGGAGCCCTGCTATCTGGCTGCAGGAGAGTCTGATGGAGATGGAACTATTAATATTTCAGCTTATCTGCAGAAGATGACTCACCCAGTTTCCTTCTGAAATATCTGATCACCATTGGCTAAGAAGAGAACACAGAATCAGCTGTTCACTGCAAAAGGTGGGACTTGAGCTGCCCTTTTTTTTTTTTTTTTACTTTAATCTAGGTTGGGAAGACCTACATAACAGACTGGAACCATTACATAAACAGCCTCCCTGTCTTTACGAGCAACTTTAACAGGGTGTTTAAAACTCACTTAAAGGAAAAGAATGAAGGTATTTCCCTCCTATGTAGGTCAACATTCTTCCTCTTCCTATAAAATAGAACTAAAGGTTAAGGTTCAAGAAGCAGTAATACAATATGTTTGTTGAAGAAGAAACAAATTTATCATATTTGGAGACTCAAATAACCAAAGCATTCTGTACAAGAAAATGGAGGGAGGGGGGACTGCTTGTCTATTAAATATAATAATCAAAGCTTACCACTAGAAATAATTCTATAAAATGAACTGAGAAAGAGATTTGATTTCTCAGGGAAGATATTGTCAAACTTGGGGGCTGTGCTATTTAAATAAAATTTTATTTAGTAACAATGCATAAGATTCTGCTACTAGCAGTAGCGAGCAGAAAGAATTATGAACCGCAATTCCATACCCAAGTATCCACTAGGTGGCTTTGTTTGCAACAAAGCAGCCTCATTTAGATGTCACTAAAATACTGTTAGTGGAAGTACACTCTATCTTTGATATATTTAGAGTTCTACCAAGAAAAGAAAGAAAAGAAGGGCTAAGTGCTCATACAGAAGACCTAGGTTCAATTCCCAACACCCACATGATGGCTCACAACTGTCTGTAATTCCAGCTCCAGGGGATCCAGTGCCTTCTTCTGATCTCAGGTATGAGGCACACACATGGTGTACATACATACATATAGGTGGAATACTTGTACACGTAAAATAAGAAAAAAGTAAAGTTTAAAGAAAAAACAGCCTAAAGTTACAGATTAAGAGGCAGAAATGAAACTCTTCTTTGTGCATAATATTAGCCATTCAGAAGCAGCTGTATGAACTGAGTTGCATAAAAGAGCCTATGCATGTATACTGCACTACTGTGCATTCAGAATCCTACATTTCACCATCCCAAGAGTGTACACAAAGATGTCATTGTGGAGACATAGGAACTGAACTTAGGTCCTCAAGAGCTTAGCTATGAGTCCATATAAAAACAAGTTGCATCTTCCAACAGCAAAGAAATATTGCTGTTATACAGGGATGAATAGGGGAAGGATTCCAAGGTACAATTCCCAAGTCTCATCTCTTTGCATATTAACCATGTGGATGTAGCTGTATGACTCTGAATTGTATTCAGAGACCACTACATACAGGAAAGACTTCTATTGTACATTCAGAATCATGCATTTGGATTGGACCAAGCAAGACCAAGTTCAGCATGGAAAGCATTAAAGTTTATAGCTCCATATCTGTCTGCGGTACATAGTGGAGCCTGGGCAGCCTTTTGTAGTTTACATGCCTCTCTCTTGGGCTGGTTCCAATCACTGTGGCTTTCTCTAGTAAATATTCCATTTCTAGCATCTCCTGCACTCTGGGGTCTCCATTGCAGATTGAGGTTCACATTCACGGCTTCCTATATCACCGTGCAGATACTGAGCACTGCCTATGCTCTGAGGCCTTCCTTTAAAATCTTGGTGGAATCCTCCATGACCACATTGCTCTTGTATCCTGTAAGCCTGCAAAACCAGCATGATATGGACAATGCCAAGTTCATCTGCCCAGATCCAGACCCTTCGGGTCATAGCAGTATTGGCATCAGTTTCTGAGTAGCTGGACCTCAGAAAAGTATTTCTTCAGGTGGCTCTATACCTTGTGGCTCTGCAGTAGTCTCAGGGGACAGTCAAAATGGGTTTACAGTTTTACACCTGCGTCCATGCTGGATAGAGTTGCCAAAATTCCTTGAAGGCACTTTCACTATCCCAGTGCAAATTGCAAGATCTCTTTTCATTTTGCTTGTGGTTTTGTTTTGTTTGAGATGGTCTCAGCAGGCAGTGGTAGTGCACATCTTTAATCCCAGCACTTGAGAGGCAGAGGGAGGCTAATCTCTTGAGTTCAAGGCCAACCCGGTTTACAGAGCAAGTTTCAAGAGTGCCAGGACTACACAGAAATATCATGTCTGGAAAAACTGAGAGAAACAGAATACAGAGGTGGGGGGAGAGGAGGAGAGAGGAGAGGAGGGATATTTTCATACATATATATCATTATAGTTATTCTTATTAAATCCCTTTATTGCCCTTCTGTGCCCCTCCTATCCCCTCATTGGTCTCCTTCCTCTCCCCAAATAATCCCTACTGGTTTCATTTTATGTATATTCTATTATTTACCTCATTGTTTAAACTCTCCTCCTTTAAAGTGCAACCATAGTCCCTTCTACTTATATGGCTTCAAAAATGTGTAAACATGTGTAGATGGATTTAAATATAGATTCCACATATGATAGAAAGTGAGGTACTCTTGTCTTTCTGAGTTTGGCTTCTTTTGCTTAACATAAAGATCTGTGGCTACAAATCTCCTTAACAACCACACCCTTCTGTGCCTCAGACATTGACTTGCTGCTCTTCTGGCCAGACTGCCTGCTTCTCCAATCTTTCTTCTCTGCTTTTGACTCCCAGTTCTCGCTGAAAGCATGTCTTAAAAGTCTCCAGTCACGACTATAATATAACCTGACCACTAAGCTGTCTTGAATTTTCTCTCCTGAGTGCATTACCTTTAAACTTAGTACCTTAGAAAGTCTCAGAATGCGAGGAAAATATAGATCAATTCTTAGCTAGAATGTAAGCTTAGCTTGTATGATATCCAATGTAGTATTTGAAATTTCTGGGCTGGAGAGATGGCTGAGGTTAAGAGCATTGCCTGCTCTTCCAAAGGTACTGAGTTCAATTCCCAGCAACCACATGGTGGCTCACAACCATCTGTAATGGGGTCTGGTGCCCTCTTCTGGCCTACAGGCATACACACAGACAGAATATTGTATACATAATAAATAAATAAATAAATATTTATAAAAAAAAAAAAAGAAATTTCTATTAACACCAGAGGCCTCCAGAGCAGTACTTCCTGTCTGCATTTCTGCTGCCTTCTGGTCTTCAGAGTCACACCAGAATAATATAACATTCTAGGCTTTTTCTAGACTATTTCTCCAAACTCTTACAAATTTCTCCTGCAAAACAATACCAAAGACTTAACAACCATATTATTACTGGGTATGGTAGATCAAACTATAATTCCAGACCTTGGAGGCTGAAAAGGGTGATTACCAGGATATTTAGACAAGCCTGGGCTACTATAAAGTGACCCCCCACACATACATACACAAGCAAAACCTGCCAATGTTGTCAGATACTCACAGCAATGATTGTGCTTCCTCTACTTACTAGCGTTTGTATCTCCATTACCAAATACCTGAAAGAGATAACTTTAACTTGAAAGGATTTGTTTGGGCTCATGGTTTTAGAAGTTTCTGTCCATGTTTTCTTGGGCTCCTGAGCTTGTGCAAAAGCACGTGGAACGGTAGGGTCATGGTCAGCTATAGCCTTAAGGGTGTGCCTTCAGTGACCTATATTCTCCAGCAGGTTGCCTTCCTACCCAGGAATACCATTGTTATAATCTCCCACACATTAGGCCACAAGCTAACCTCAGATGGCATTTTTCAGGCACTATCCACCTTTCACTAGAGAGGAGGTCTCTCTTTGCCTGGATAGCATCAGATAAGCCAGGCTGGTTGGCCAGAGAGCCCCAGGGATTTATCTGTCTGTTCTTCCCTAAATCTGAGTTTACCAGTACCCCCACCCCCACCCCATGCCCAAATGGATTTGTTTCTTGATTATTTTTGAGACTGGTTTCCCTAGGTAGCCTTATCTGGCCAGAACTCACTCCTAACTCAAACTCATAGAAATCCATTTGTCTCTCTCTGTCTCCTGAGTGCTAGGTTTAAGGTGTGTGCCACCACACCTGCCTCACCCATATTTTTTATGTGGATTCCGGGAATCAAACTCAAGTCCTCATGCTTTCACTTCAACATCAAAGCCATCTACCCAACTCTCCAATGCTGTGTTTTATTTTTATTTTATTTTATTTATTTATTTATTTATTTATTTATTTATTTATTTATTTATTTTTGGTTTTTCAAGACAGGGTTTCTCTGTGGTTTTGGAGCCTGTCCTGGAACTAGCTCTT